AACGTGTACATGCTTCAGACCCACTAACCTCTTTATCACGTGTCGTGTTTCATCCGTCGGTTTCTGAAACCTGACGCGCAATATGTTTTCTCTAGGTAATAAATACCGTGAGTGAAAAGGCTGTTATATGAAAAAACGACCCAATCGCCCGTCTAGACTACCTTTAGAAACGTACATATGAGCAATATTTCAGGAGCCCCACAAGAAGAACAGACTTTTCCCACAACTGTCTGAGCTTTTCTTCAACAGTTTATTTTGGAACTCCTACATGTGAGAGGTGAGGTGAGAAATGCACTTGGCCTCATTTTGTGCAAAACATAGGGAAAAGGCTTTAAAGAATGCTTCTCCTTCATTGAAAACTCCCGGCAGTCATAAGGAAACACAATGATCTACTGAGAGAGCTGATCGTACATCTGGTTTTCTTTAAGGCTTAGAAATTTAGTATCACTGGTTACTTTTTTACCTTGCACGTCATTGATTTGTGCACGCAAACGATTGGGGTAGTGTAAAATTACGATTGTATTGCAAAATGTGCCTTAAATATCGTAAAAATTCAAGGTATTCGAGTAAAAAGAAGGCTTTTAAGAGTCTTCTTGCATTATAACACATAAACAGATTAAAAACTTCTTCAAAACAATTCCGCTTCTCATATTTCCAAGAAAACTCTGGTATGGAGGGCTTCAGGCGGCTTGCTTTTGTCTGGACCATAAGCAACTGCCCTAACGCCAGCCTTGGCGTTCTATCAATAGTAAGCGATGAGCCAATATTGCTTACCTATTCAGTTATATATGTGTCGTTTTCAAAAACGGTAAACACTGATTGATGTCCACAGCTTACATTGAAGAATGAGATTATGTCGGACTATAAAATATAAGTCGTCATCTTTTCTGACGTGCCTCGCAACTTTGGGTGCTGCAACAAATCTGATTGGGCTCCTAGGTAAAATCACACTTCCTAGTTTATCTTTCTTACATCCCTGATAGGCAACTTTAGCTATCTAAAAAGCAAGAGCTGAATATCAGTCAGCAAAACAAGAAAGCGTTCAGACGCCTGCCGTAGTGCCGCGGCAAAGCATGACGCCGTGTGACGAGAATGAAAATACGTATTTGACCAAATGAGAAGTTAATATTGACCCAACTGTGAAAAACTCGGCGCCTCGGTGGGATTCGAACCCACGCAGTAAGGGGGAAGGCTTTAGTACAGCCAACGCTCTAACCACCTGAGCTACGAGGCCCCGCAGTTGGGTCAATATGAATTAGTCAAAATCTGCCAAAAATATCAATGAATTACGTGAGCCTAGTAGTCATCTGGTGGATTCTGGGTGAATTACTTAG